CGAGTCATCCGACAATCTTTCTCAATCAAATTGATCACTCGCCGATGTATCTGTTCTACGATATAAGCGAGCGTTGCAAATGTGATTCATTCTTCCTGGCGCTGGTCATTTATTGAAGCATCGATACCGCAGTTCCTCATTCACGATGTTTGCGTTTCGCGTTACAGAAACAATTAATAATCTCATCGCCCGTCGCGCGTTCCCACGTCGCCCACCTGTTCGTCGAGAAGAAGATCGAAGAATCGCCCGACCCGTCTCACGTTCGTGTCGGGGTTATCGCGTGGTATTAATTATCGCCGCCGAGCGTATTGGCAGGGATCGATAATTTCGCGAACGTCCCGCGGGGGGCATTCACGAGCGCATGATGTAATTATTATTCGTTCGACCCCCGTTCGACCGCCCCGCCGTCGGTCGCCGTACCGCGCCGGTAAATGGAACGGAAGGTGTTAGGCGTGGGATGAACTCGAACCAGGACGGATCACGGGCTGCGCTACGCGCTACACGACGATGATGATGGCCGTTAATCACGTGGCGCCCGTAAAGCGGGATCCGCGAACACGGAGCGCAACGATAGGCAATAATACGCGACGCATCGCGTTCACGAGACGCGACGTGTGGGCGGGCGGACGCGGTTTGCCGCAAGATTGCCGTATGCGTTACGTGCGTTTACACGCACCGCAAGATACCGGTGGACTCGATCGCCTCGAACGACACGCCGCCGATGTGCGCGCAATTAAGCTGCCGTCTGGTTTTTTAAAACGTGTGAGACTAGCCTGACCGTGAATGACATGTTTTGCTTCCACTTTCGGACCCACCTTTTTAAAAGCAAAAAATAGCAAATAATTAGCAAATTAATTCCATATAAAATTGTTTGTGTTCTGATAATTTGGCTTAGATAGATTAATATACCTTGCGATATACATATATGTTCGAGTTATAGGCGTGGAAAACAAGTGTTTATTTTAATAAATCGATTAATTTAAAAACGATAAGCATAACTTTCGGATGCAAATATAACGGTACCAAAATAAAACGATATGTATCGAATGATACGATAGAATATAATTCATTTTACGCGAATATGCGAGCAGCGAGGCGTAAATCGCCCCGTGGCGCTCCCGATAAACACAATTAAGATGCTTCGGGAGTTTTACGGAATCCTAATAGTAGTCTCGATTAATACGCTAAATTCCAGGAATAATATTCCGTTCGTTATCAAATGCAGTTAGAATTACAGCCGTGAACTCTCCAACGGTTCAGCGGTGTAACATGTGCATGTAATAGAGAAAACAAAACCTAGAGATTCTGCGAGCGGATGTTTGCGAACATTTACAGATTGCAACGTATTTGTTCCGTGGATGAACCTAACGCGGTTTGTACGCATCAATCATTCTCGCGAGACGTACGAGTTCGCCTCTTACGTGCAATACACGGCATATCGCGAAATAAAGGCGGCGCGCGGCGCGATCCCCCTCTGGTCTTAAAAATGTAAAACGGAAATATTTATAGATTTTCAGTAGATTATCCCGCACAGAGAGCAAACCGCATTAGTGATTTAGCTTCGTGTTATTGCGTCGACAGTAAAAAAAAATACGCCATAAGGTATCGCGATACAGTATACAGGTGCACTGCCGCGAATACACATGCAAACCCGCAAGTCACGCGTAAATGAAACTCATGCGTCAAAACGGAGATTCATCACCGACGGATTGAAACCGATAGGATTTCCGACGAGAGTCCAAGTTTCGATATTGAGGAATTATTTCACGCCAATTGCCGCGTAATAATCCCTGTATCGTAAATAAATAAACATTTAGCGTGCGAAAGATAATATCTGCGTTAAATTACGAGGTTCTAGGATTTCCCAAGGTACCGTTCGTTTTATTCCACTTCTGATAAAGCCGTCCTATTCGCGTGTCGAGTTCCGCCCTCGCGTTCATTATTCGCCCAACAATTATCAAATCACACGTCAAATCTCTCGCGGGGGCGCGCTTCGCGTCTGCGATCGTTTTACTTTTGCGGGGCCGTCTCGCGGCCGCGGGAACGGCGCCGTTTCGCCGCTCTCCGTCGGGGGAATTACGT